AACTTTTTAGCCCCTCTGTGTGATGTGGTGGTGGGGGTGGAAAAGAAATTAGGCAGTGCATGCCAACTACATAGTTAACCTTCTCTGCATAGTTAGATAGAGGGTGTGGGGCTGGGGCTCCTGGTTGCACAAGGGTGTGCGGAGTGCTTGGCACTTGGCCGACACAGAGAAATCTTTTCTCCTGTGTTTTGTCAGAAGCCCCTGCCACCACACAGCGCCTTGCCTTTGAAAACTACCATCTCCTCTGAAATGTGCAACTCATTTTCCTACACCTACAGTAAAAATACTCTTGGTGATTGTTGGCACAGGGCTCTTCATGAGGCCCAAGAACCATCCCATTGATGCCAGTGGCTTGTTGGTGTCTTCTCCATATTATGGTTGGTATTTTGCCACAGCGTGTCCATTTATTTTAACATGCAGCACTCATTGGGAAGCCGTCATGAGGATAAAGAGAAGGGCAGCATGCCAGGGCAGGATTAAGAGAAAAACAGCCGGAGGACACAGCACAGGGAACAAGTCCAGGCCCAGTCCACTTAGTCACGATATCGTCCCACAGAAGTACAGCTGTAGTTTTTCCCAGAAGTGTCTTGAATTGCTGAGGATCTAGCTAGCAGTGGACTCAAAAGGGTGGGGCATCTTGGGAAATGGCAGACATATTTCTATCTGCGTGACAGATATGTAGGATTAAAAGAATATTAATGACCGTTCACAACCAGCCTTTGATCTTGCTTTGTTGAACATAATTGAAGCAGCATGCTTCCTTCTGTACAAACACTGTGAGAATTTGATTGTGTTCCCACCTAATGCGTTATTACAATTACCCTGTTCCTTACGTTTGTGAAAATGTTCTTTGTAGCTGTCCCCACCCCTGTCTTCCACAGCGGCATGAGAAAACCTGATTCCTCTTTTTTTTTAATCATTTTTCTTCTCTTGCATCTTTGCGTGTCTTTCCTGCTTTTCGGGTTTAGGCCAGGAGCACAGCGACCCACCCCCCTGACACCTCTCCTCGGAGAGACACTGAGCTGAGAGCCTCTGTATGATAGAAGCCTATCTTACAGAGCAGCCATATCATCCTGCAACTCACAACCGGCACCCCACTGATGCACAGCAGCTGTGAGCCTGGCCAGTACCTGGATGGGAGACTCCTGGGGAAAACTAAGGTTGCTGCTGGAAGAGGTGTTAGTGGGGCCAGCAGGGGGTGCTCACCCTATGGTCCATGTGGGTCCAAATACCCCAGTATAGTGACGGGGACACTATACTGTAAACTGGTGCCATCCTTCGGCTAAGACATAAAACCGAGGTCCTGACTCTCTGTGGTCATTAAAAATTTAGAAAAGAGTAGGGGTATTACCCTGGAGTCCTGGCCAAATTCCCCATTGGCTTTTAACAATCAGGACCTCCTAATAATCCCCATCTCTGAACTGGCTCCATCACTGATCTCCTCTCCACTGAGAGCTGGTGTGTGGGGAGTGTACTGGTGTCGCATCATCCAGGTGGGGCTGCACACTGGTGGTGGTGGTGGAGGGGAGCCCCCATGACCTGTAAAGCACTTTGAGTGGAGTGTCCAGAATATAAGTGTAAGGAATTATTATTACAGAGAGCACAAACACCCAGCACAGAGGAGACAACTGGTAGGTATTGTGTTTCATTGCATGCATTCAGGTTTCACTTTCATTCCGATCACAAAGTAGACAAAATAGTCTGACGTGACTCTAGTGCTGTCAAAGTATGTCACTCACTTGGAACCTTGCTCTCAACTTTTCACTCCATCGAAACTTCAGTCTTACAGGAACACCAATTATATAATCACCCCCCTCCCCCCATATACCAGACTGCCAGCTGTCTGAGAGGGCAATCTTTTTGTCTGGAACGTTACTGGGTAATTCTGCACTTTGCTGTACGGAGGGTTTCAGAAAGCCAGAGTATCTTTCTCCCAAATTGTTTCACATTCAGAACCCTACAAATGTGACTAATCCACCCTTCAGTGCTGCAGTTGGGAAAATACGGTGCAGAGAATGACTGCATTTACAGCACAGGTTCCTACCATTTTGGCTCCAGTTCAAGGTCTGCGGCCCCTTGTTAGGTCATCTTGGGTGTGGCAGCAGCCAGGGATTTCATGACTAACAGTCAAAATGATCCCTGTCAGTAAGCATGCAGTGCAGGCACAGTTCAGAGGATCACACAGGATCTCTTAACTCATCTTCAAGGTAGAAATGCCCTTCCTCTTCCCATGTCTTCCCATTGTGGAAAACCATCTGGCGGGCGCAGGAAGGCCAGCCTTTCAAATCTGGATTCACTGAAAAACACCCCAATACGCCAAAAATGCCCCAATATGCGCCAAAAACACCCTAATACCCCAGCGGTCTGAGAACAAAGAGACACTTCTTCACACACAGGGATGTTGAATTCAGCTACTAGATACAAAACGGCTTCCTGTCATTTTTAACCATTCTTTATATTCTCATGAGGGTCTGTCAATAACATTCCGTGGATACAATATATTGTACTTGCTATGACAACAAATGAACACAAGAGGGAAGTGTTGCCTTAGCATTTGCAAATCCTTAAATTGCAATTGCTACTGAGGACGTTGGTGACTCCCCTCAGAACTTCACTTCACTTTGAATATTGGCATTACATTTACAGTACAATTTAAACACATCAAAATAATAGGTAGATCTGTAGATTATCTCTCATTTTTCCTTCAGGTTCCAAATTGCAATTCAGTGTGCCTCTGCAAAGCACATAGGAGCCATCAGCACTAGAGACCAGGGGTGGTTTGCTGGCTCCGTGTACTTTTGCACTGGAACTGGGAGCGCTGGGTATTGTGCCGTGCCTGGGAGCTGGTCCTGCTGAAAGGAGTTCTCTACAGTAAGAGGTGACTCACTGCCTGGGTCCCGAGTAAGATCTGCACCAGGGGGCTCACCAGTCACATGGCCCTCCTGTCCCGTAGCTTCTGGCTTTGTGCCCCAGTGACATGGTGGTCTCTTCGGGTGCTTTTTAAATCTTCTGGGGGTCTCCTTGCAGGAACTCGTTTCCCTCTCCGGCTCTTCGCGAGAAGCGATCAGCAGCTACCACCCCTCTGCTCGTTTTCCAGACAGAAGCTGAGAATTTTTGGAGGGGGGCGGACCTGAGTGCCGGTTCCTGGCAGGTTTGGGGTCCCCCTAGCCTTCCCCTCAGATGTGTCCCCGCAGTGCCCCTGGGGCCCACTTGCGCCCCACTCTGAGGGGTTAAGGAGGGACCTGGGTCGCACAGCAGGCCCTTCGCTGGAGCCCTCTGGTCCGAGAGAGAGGGAGGGAGAGACAGGGTGTGGGTTCAGTCTGTGTACCGCAGGGGCATCAGAGTCATAGAGTTGGAAAATACTCCTGCCAGGGATTTCATGACTACAAATCACAATTATCCCCTTCAGTCAGCATGCATTGCAGGCACAATTCAGAGGATCACACAGGAAGGGACTGATTTAAGAGGCCAGCCTTTCGTATCTGGATTCACCTCTTTAAAACACATGTCTGAGGTGTGAGGATCTAAAGTGAAGCGCAGTGTTGCAGCGCAGCTGAGCTCGCGGGGACAGAGGCAAGTCAGGTAACAGTGACAGTGACGTACCTGTCAGAGACCGGGTCAGACCTCTGGCTGTCTGCGGCTGTCTGCCAGCGTGGCCTTCACTGCCCCCCTGTGCACAGAAACAGGTACAGAACACTGTTGCAGGACTCGCTAGACACGTCCCAAAAGCACCTTAAAGTGTACAAGCATTTACAAGATGCACCTAATAATAATAATAATACTTAACACTTCTATAATGCTTTTCTGGACCACTTCACTCTGTGCTCTTTACAGGTAATGGGGATCCCCTCCACCACCACCAGTGTGCAGCCCCACCTGGATGATGTGCCAGTCTGCTCCCCACACACCAGCTCTCAGTGGGGAGGAGAACAGAGTGATGCAGCCAGTTCAGAGATGGGGATTATTAGGAGGCCATGATTGATAAAGATCAATGGAAAATTTGGCCAGGACACCGGGGTAACAGCACCACTCTACTCAAGAAACATCCTGGGGTTTTTAATGACCGCAGAGGGTCAGGACCTCGATTTTACCTCTCATCCGAAGGATGGCACCTTTTTTACAGTGTAGTATCTCCATCACCATACTGGGGCATTAGGACCCACACAGACCTCGGGGTGAGCTCCCCCTGCTGGCCCCACTAACATCTCTTCCAGCAGCAACCTTAACTTTCCCAGGAGTCTCCCATCCAGGCACTGGCCTGGCGCACACCTGCTGAGCTCCAGTGGGCTGCCAGCTGTGAGCTGCAGGGTGATGTAGCTGCTGGCTATACAATGTCCAGGCTATAGATGGCACCGTTCTCCTTGCCTGACCTCGAACACAAGCACAGCGCTGCATGTACAACACCAGAAAGCTTGCCTGTGTGGCAGCTCTGCCAGTGAAGGAAACGAGGCCGCGCGGCCCGTGTGTCTCCCCAGGCGCCCAGCGCGTTACCTGCCTGTCCGTCCCCAGGCTGCAGTGCCTCCTCAGGGCGGGCCGGCCAGGCAGGTCCCGGTCCGTGGTGACGTCGGGGTGAAGGGTGTGCCGGCTGTAGGTCTGCGTCTGCTGCAACACAGCGAGAGCCTCAGGTGACTCAGGGCTGTGACTGGGGGGGAGCAGGGACACAGGGGACGGGGAGCGACATCTCTCGTCTCGTTTCCCTGCAGCTTTGCCATTGCATGGAAAATATTATACTTAATCTCGTTTTTTCAGTAGCTTCCTCTTCCTTTTTTTACTGCTCATTCTATACTTAAATGTTTTTAACGTATATATTCAGCACAAACCCTGGCAGTGGTGCAAACATTCAAGTTTCCATGTGATAAGCCACACAACAGAAATACTTACAAGGAACATTCTCAGTTAGGTATATCTGTGTGTAATATATATATATACTTATGTGTATAGAATGCATGAGGGAGGTAAATCTCTGGATTTGTGACTGTCTGGTTGTGGGTTCGAGTCCCTGCTGAAGGC